GGCCAACTTTGTCTGGAAGTTGTTGTGTTATTTAAATTTCAATATTGCTCTGTACAAAAAAAAAAAAAAGGTTAAAGGCGTCTTAATAATGAGTCGCCTAGGGCCTCATAATTATCAGGACTGGCCTTGTATAAATGTCTAAAGATGCAATATGTTATAAATCACGTAACATCGGGTTCATTGGCTTGCCAAAAATTGAGGAAATAGAAGATATAACATGAGTATACTCGTTTTATGATGTGAAGAGATCAACACCATGCTTGATGGGACATCGAAGTCAATGTGTTCATGGAATTGCCACTAGGAGCGAGGGACGAAAATGAAGCAAACGTCGTGTTTTCTTCAAGAGTCGTTTGGGCTTGTAAGTTGGGGTATCATTATTTTATTTATATATCATACCCTCTTCATTCAATTCTATATTTGCATTGTTTCTTTGGCCCATTTCTCTTTCTTAGAAAAAAAAATGATATTTTTCCTTCCAATAAGTAATTATGATTGTTGCTTGGACATTCTCCTGACTTGTTTGCGGTAGAGTCAAGATTATTACATGTTTCCGCTAAGATTAAATTACATCTATATCAATACCCAAGGGCGGAACCAGGATTCAGTGAGAAGGGGGGCTAGTGAGTTAGACAGTGGGCTACTGAGTTGGACAGAAAAAAAAAGTGCTATAATTTTTTTTTTCTAGTAGAATTTGGCTTGGGCTGGGGTGGGCTATCTCCGCCCATGTCAATACCATAATCATCTGCACTAAAATCACAATTGAAATTAGAATGTCAAGAGTTTCAAAATGAATCAAATACACACCATTTGAAATTTTCATGTTAATTATATTAAATAAGAATTGATCTTGCCACTGGTGATGTGGTAGCCTCTGGTGTAATGACTCGACATTCATGCCTAAACTGTTAACTTACGTACTGTTCGTTCTGGGAGAGTCCGAACCCATCTTACTCGTTACAGATTTCTGTCGCGTCCCCAGTATTCAAATCATTGATCTCATTCTTAAGAGAAATGTCAAGGGTTCGAATCCTAGAGACGCAACATAAATTTATAAGGGATAAGATGACCTCAAGCTCTCACGGAGCGGATAATATGTAAGTTAATGATTTGAACATAAATATCGGGTCATACATGTGGTGTTACCACATCACCAATGGAGTCTAAAATATTGGTGATGTGGATGTGTTGCCACATTATCGGTGGGCAACATATCTCCTACCCACTATAGACAGTAGATTAGTTCTGTATACTACATATCATAAGTTATATCTCTGTATATACAGATTTTAAGCGAAATATTATGAAACCAAATTTCATTTAAAATATCAAATTCACATTAATTTAGATTTTCAAGATTCCTAACTTCCTCAGAAAATTGTAATTTATTTTTTAAAAATAAATAAGAGAATAGTAAGATAAAACCGTAAAATTACTTTAGTTATTTATAACAATAATTGTCATAGAGTCTACAAGATATTTTTAGATTCCTTGTGTGTTGACACTAAGGTTTCTCATCTCAGTTACCTAATTCTCAGACAATGGCACATGGTTTAAGCTAGGAATGTCAAAGAGCCGAGTCGAAACTTGAGGCTTGAGATCGAGTCGAATAAAAATGGTTCAAATTTTTTTTTTGCCAGAGTCAAGCCAAGCCGATCTGAGCTTTTGCTAGGCCAAAAAAATTAAACTCGATCTGAGCTTTCGGCTCGAGCCTTGTCGAGCCGGCTTACAATGTTTTTTTTTTTTTTTTGAAGTATCTGACAGTTTGAAAATGGTTTCATTTTTAATTTTAATTTTTTTTAAAAATCAAACAGCAACTAGCTACCTAACACGCAACGTGTAGATGTCTGTAAATGGTTTAATTAAATTTTTTTTATATAGGTGCGGCTCGTCACGAGCTCCGGCCAACGCCCCAAAATGGGCTCTGGCTTTCCCCAGGCCGAGCTACGGGCCTTCCGAGCGAAATTCACGCCACCAAATTAAACAAATCAATGAAAAGCCAGCGAACTTAACTAAGTAAATCGCTGAGGTAGAAGATAGAGGCAAAATACAATATTTAGGCGAACTCTGCAATAAAGGAAATTCAAGTACAAAGTAGAAAAGTGTTAAACACATTTTATATTTGTTTCCTCGACACTTGGATTTATACAAGAAATTAGTTAACACCCATTACTGCTCGGGTTTGTTGAGCACCAATCAGCTAAGGCCAACAGGCTAACCACCCACTACATTTAAGAAAATTGTCCACGAAATCTTGTATTTTTGTCCACCTAGTTCATTGCACCAGGGATAGATCTAGGACCGAACTAAAAATTAATTTTAAGTTGAGCTAATATGTTAAAAAAAGGGGATTGGACAGGGCTGTAGCCCGATAAAATATAGATATGTATAAAGTTTTAAAATAAAAAAACAATATTCTTTTTGAATATTTATGAAATATTTAGTTATGCTTCTAGCATAAACTTAGTCAAGTACTATTATAAATCACAATATTCTTTTACAATATTGAAATTCATGATGTTATATACTTGTTTGAGTGTATTAATATAGTAATTTCTAAAATAATATTATATAATTTGTATACAAGAACAAAACGATAAGTTTTCTAAAATATCAATAAATACAAATTTCATTTTATTCTAAAATAATATTATATAATTTGTCGTCAAGAACAAAACGATATGTTTTCTAAAATATCAATAAGTACAAATTTCATTTTATTCGGGAGCAATAACACAATATTTTCATAGTTATTGATATTTATGAAGTTATTCTTATTTATAAAGTCATTATTTGAGAATAATAATACATTATTCTCCTAGAATATTGATTTGTATAAATTTGTAACTTTTTAGGAGCAACAAAATAAAATTATTCAAAAATATTATTAATAAAAAATAATATAATATTCTTTTTTAATGTTGATTTTAAATTTATATTCTTCCAATACTAATATTTTTCAAGAGTATTAGAGTTGTGTTCTTTAGAAGCAATGATGCAATATTATTCTAGAATATTTATTTGTACATATTTGTCAAATTACAAAACTGAATTAAAAAAAAAGAAAAAAGAAAAAGGTTATTCTATCATCTCGCCAAAAATTTAAGAAAGGGTAATTGGCGCAAAACGTCCCTACCTATGACGAGTGTTGTGGAAAACGTCCCTACGTTTGATTTTTTAGTGTAGAACGTCCCTACCTTTGCATTTTATTGCGCAAAACGTCCTTCCGTCCAATTCCCGTTAGAATGCACCGTTAAATCCAAAAAAAGGGATTTTTATTTTCCAAACAGAAGGGTAAAACCGTCCAAACACCCATAACTTCCATCCCTTCACTTCATTTCGCAAAACCAGAAGCCTTGGAAGGGAGACAGACGGACGTGGGTGTCTTCATATCACGCCTAATCCGTCTCTTCCGTTCACCGCCTTCCACGCAGTAAAGCTTACACTTTCATTGAGCACCAATCTTCCAACTCAATCACATTATTAACATTCAAAGGAACATTCAATTAACTGAAGGCAAAAAGACTGCCCAAGCATGAGGTGATTATGGAATTTGCTGTGCAGCATATTACTATAGGAAGTTCATAAATTCTAGCATGGAACTCCAACACAATATCACCACTGTTCTCTGGCACTACAGTGTCAATCTCCATTTACAAAACAACGTTTTCCTATTCAAATCTCCTGCTTCATAAAATTTTGCCTGAAATTACTAATTAATATTTAATACCCATAAAATTTCAAAAATCCAATCTTTACGTCACCCACATTTTCTCATAACCCATAAACATCACTCCTCTCTAAATTAAATTAACCCAATAGAATTAAATGTCATGCAAACCTTGAAATAATGACGAATAAAGATCTTGGCAATGCTATATAAAGAAAACCCAGGAAAAAAGGAATCAAAGCTTAATCAAATTCCATTCTTTTAGGGTTTCTTCTTCTTCTTCTTCGGCGAAAGACCCCTTTCCCTTTTATTTGTTTGGCTTCCTCCAGGATGTTTCTTTCTTTCTCTACTGTTTACATATGATATATATGTAGATTGTCTTGGATTGAGTATTTTTGACAACCAAATATGAGAAGGCTTATGGTATTTTTGACGTCCGTCTGTCTCCTTCCAAGGCTTCTGGTTTTGCGAAATGAAGTGAAGGGATGGAAGTTAGGGGTGTTTGGACGGTTTTACCCTTCTGTTTGGAAAATAAAAATCCCTTTTTTTGGATTTAACGGTGCATTCTAACGGGAATTGGACGGAAGGACGTTTTGCGCAAGAAAATGCAAAGGTAGGGACTTTCTACACCAAAAAATCAAACGTAGGGACGTTTTCCACAACACTCGTCATAGGTAGGGACGTTTTGCGTCAATTACCCTTTAAGAAAAATGATTCAAGTACAGAAGAAAATTGTTGGAATTTTTCCAGAATTTTGAATTGCTCTCACATGAGGAGGCGGCCCCCACATGAATTAATTATTATTAAAAATAATGGGACCCATGTATTGTGTGTATTCGATACAATTTCTGTAAAATATTTTCTGTACCCATAAAGTGATTGAAAATTTAATCGGTTTAGTGCAAAAATAATTAATTTAAAATCGTCATAAATTGAGTCCACATGGACAGACTGTCCACGGCTTCTTTGCCTTTCAGTGCAAAATTTCAAAGTTGAAAATTAAGGAAATAATTAATTATGATTTATCTAATTAAACCATACTCCATTTCCCTTCTTAAACCACATTAAAACGCCGTCGTATATAAATTCTTCTATATTAAAACCTCAATAAATAAAGAAAGTAAAAAATGGAACTTGTAATAGATGTATAGAGAGAGAGAGAGAGAGAGAGGAAAACTAGAAAGAAATAAAAAGAGACGGTGTTTTGAGTGGTGGAGTCCACGACTTTCAGTAAAGCAAAATCAAGAAAGTTGAGAAACCCAGCAAATTTCTTGCATTCAAGATAAAGGAGCAGATTGAATCACTGAGGTCTAGGGTTTTTGGTGAATCAATGGCGAGTCCGAGTTCTCAATCGGACAGATTAGCAGTGATTCTGAAGACTCCAGCAACTGTAAAATTGACGACCCCAAATTCTGTTTCGTCCCAGCTTTTGCGAACCCCAAATTCTGGTTCGTCTCAACTTCTGAAAACCCCTTTAAGCGATGAAGCCATATGGAAAAAACTCAAAGAAGCGGGCTTCGATGAAGAGTCCATCAAACGCAGAGACAAGGCTGCTCTCATCGCATATATTGCTAAACTCGAAGCCGAGGTCTTTTTTCTCAACTTCCTCGTGCTTTTATATATTTTTTCCTTGAATGTTTCTTTCTTTCTGTCTTTTTTGGATTTTGTAGTTATCTTAATTTTCTATAATTCTTGTTCGTGTAGTTTATTTATTTTTGGTTGCAAAGATTGATGATACTATTGATCTGATTTTCAGGAGCGTCTTGCTTAATTTCTTTATTTTCTGGAAGTTTGAGACTCTATTTTTCTATTCTTTATTAGTTTATAGTTTCTCCGAATCTGTATAGAGTGGGGTTTTTTCTCTTGTGGGTGAAAGATTTAAAACAAGTGATTTTGCTCTTTTAGAATTGTTGGGGTATTTTTATTAACAAAAGCTTCCTAAACTGTGCACGTTATTTATGTTTTACACTTTCGTTGTTGAGATTCTAATTTAGTTATAAGTTGATGTTCTTGATTTGTAGCTATATGACCATCAGCATCACATGGGCCTTCTCATTCTAGAAAAGAAGGAGTGGGTTTCCAATTACGAACAAGCCAAAACTGCCGCTGAATCTGCTGAATTGAAGTTTAAGCGTGAACAGGCTGCTCATGCGTCTGATTTGGCAGATGCCAAGAAGCGAGAAGATAGTCTGAAAAAGGCTGTTGGAATTGAGAAAGAATGTGTTAAAAATGTATTATTCTTTGTGGTTTTCCTGTTTATTTTTATGACTTGTATGTTCCTTGTCATAGTTTCTAATCTGGTGAACTCGTGTAGATTGAAAAGTCATTGCATGAGATGCGTGCAGAATTGGCGGAGGCAAAGGTTGCAGCAGAGACTAAACTTGCTGAGGCACGGAATATGATGGAGAATGCTCAGAAGAAGTTCATGGAGGCGGAGGAAAAACTTCATGCAGCAGAATCTTTGGAAACGGAGGCTAGCCGATTCCAACGAACTGCAGAAAGAAGGTTGCGAGAAGTTGAAGATAGGGAAGATGATTTAAGGAGGCGGATGATGTCATTCAAATCAGAGTATGTGCTTTATTTACTTATCTGACTTCAATATATCCAATAAGTTTCGTTGTCGTAGGTAAATTTACTACATAATGATCTTCTTACACTTGGTTTAACACTTGGACTGTTTGTAAATTATCTTGTTACATTAATATCTCTCAACAGTCTACTGAAATGGAGGCTTGTAAGCTTTGTATTGCTGCTTTGACACCATTGGTAATTTCTAGTTTTTGTGTTAGACTTGAAGCTTCTTGAATGCTTAGTCATTTTCAATGGAATATCTTACTTGTTTGATTTTTTTCTTTCTTTTCTTAGTTGTTTGAATGTATTTGTTTGTTTGATGAAGAATACTTATATTATGTTCTGTATACTTTTCAGGTGATTATTTCCTTTGAATTTTTTCTCTTCTAGCCTTCTACTTGTCCATACATTTTGATTTTGACTGAAAAATTAAAATTTGATATTTAAGTATTGTTTGCCAATGTTCTGCTAGATGTGATGATAAAGAGAAAGAGATCCAGCTTGAGAGGCAATCTCTGACTGGAAGGCAAAAAATGCAGCAGCAATTGCAAGACAGATTACTTGATGGACAAGCTTTGCTAAATCAGAGGGAAGAATACATTTTTAATAGATCTCAAGAGTTAAAGAGGCTTGAGAAGGAGTTGGATGACATAAAGTTCAGCTTGGAGAAAGAGAAAGAAGCCCTTAATGAGAAAAACCAAACTCTTAATCTAGAAGCCAGGTCATTGTCAGCAAGAGAGGAGGTCAAAACAATAATTCTTTTCTTGTTTTGAGTGTCTATGTTGCTATTAGGTTGTCCTAGTGTCTTTTAATGTTTTCTTTTTGTGCTTGTAGGCTGCCATCAGAAGAGAACGTGACCTTTTCAAGAAAGAGGAAGAACTACTCATTTCACAAGAAAAACTTGCGAGTAAAAAATCTGTAAGTCAATTATTAAAAGGGAAGCGTCGATTTCTCCATTTTATCCTTCCATTCTTATCTCATTTCATTCACTGATGCATATGTAGGATAATATTCATCAAGAAATCGCAAATCAAGAAGCTACATTGACAACGATGAAGTCTTCGTTGGAGGTGGAATTGGAAGCAAAACGTAAATTGGTGGATGAAGAACTTGACACCAAGAGGCGGGGTTGGGAGTTGAGAGAACTAGATATCAGGCAGCGGGAGGATTACATTGCCGAAAGAGAGCGGGACTTGGAACTCGAGTCTAGAAATTTTGTAGAAAGGGAGAAGGAGCTGGAAGAGAGGTTTTGTTCAATTGGGGAGAAAGAGAAGAGTCTTTTAGCAGCTGAAGAAGAGGTAGAATTGAAGAGGAACCTTTTAAAGCAAGAGAAAGATGAGATAATTAGGATAAAGCTTGACCTACAAAAATCTTTGGATTTGTTGGAGGAAAAGAAAAGGGACATTAATGATACAGAAGAGACGGTGGAGGCAATGAAGAATGAAACAAATGAGCTAATGGATCTTGAGTTGAGACTTAAGGAAGAGATTGATATGATCAGTGCGCAGAAGCGGGAACTTGAGGCTGAAGCAGATCAGTTGAAAGCAGAGAAGGCAAAGTTTGAAACAGAGTGGGAGCTGATTGATGAGAAAAGAGAAGAGTTACAAAAAAAGGCAGAGCATATTGCAGAGGAGAGGTTAATTGTTTCTAAGTTTCTGAAGGATGAGCGTGATAGCTTGAAAGCGGAGAAGGATTCATTCAGAGACCAATATAAAAAGGATCTTGAGTCATTTTCCCATGATCGAGAAGCATTCATGATTGAACTTGAGCGTGAACGTACAGAGTGGTTCAGCAAGATTCAGAAAGAACGTACAGATTTTTTGCTAGATGTAGAGATGCAGAAAAAGGAGTTGGAGTACTGTGTTGATAAGAGACGTGAAGAAATTGAGAATGACCTCAAAGAGAGAGAGAAGGCATTTGAGGAAGACAAAAAGAAAGAACTTCAGCATATTACTTCTCTCAGGGAAACAGTGGGAAAGGAACTGGAACATGTTAACTCTGAAATGAAAAGACTTGATGCTGAGAGAAGAGAGATAAATTTGGATCGTGAAAGGAGAGACCAGGAATGGAATGAGCTTAATAATTCAATTGAAGAACTTAAGGTGCAAAGGGAGAAATTGGAGAAACAACGGGAATTACTGCGTGCTGATCGAGAGGAGATTCTCGTTCAAATCAAGAACTTGAAGAAATTAGAGGATCTAAAAGATGAATTAGATCGTATTATTGCACATGAGATACAACAATCTCATTTGCAATCAGAAAGACAGAAGCAAGCAGAAAAGAAAGTTTTGAGGCTGCACAATGAAGTTGTTTTAGGTGAAAATGGCAATATAAACAATGGGGTTGGGCATAATGTTCCTCGTACAACAGAGTCATCTTCACCTCTCACTGCTCCTCTTTCGTGGCTCAAACGGTGTGCTGATACACTGCTCGAGCAAAGACAGAGTAATAAAAAGAGGAGGCATGAAAAAGACGCAACAGCACAACCTGGACTGGAAGAAACAATCCCATGGTACCCTTATTTGCTAAACTAGTTCTTCACAACTGTTTGTTAATTATCTTATCGAGACAATTATGGTTCTACCTCATTTATCATTCCCCTGCAATCTCATTTTTTACTTTTATGCAGTTTGCCAGTGGAGAACTCAGATGCATCCAAGATCAGTCAATCTGTTATGTCTTTTAATCAGACTCCCGTCATTGCTGAGGAGACCACTGTGTATATAGATAAAATCATCAGAATCCGAGAATCAACTATAGCTGATGTTGAGAGAGTTTCTAGTGACAACAAGGTAGTTTCTAGCTGTTAAAATGATTCCTACAGTTTTAGTTTCTACTGTTGAAATGAAACTACGCCCTAGCATGATTTTGTTGCTGTCCTGCGTTCTATGTAACTCTACCCCTTTTTGATACCTGTATTGACAGGGAAAGTGCTGTCTTCCATAAAGATAATCGTGCTGATTATAATTTGTTCCTCGTGGATATGCCGTATTTTACTATTTAGCAATTTTACCTGTTTGTATTTTTGTCTGATCCTTAATATTGTTGTTTAAATTCTGAGTTGACAGTCTTCATGTAACACCCTATCTCACTTTTATAGCATGACTTAGACCTGGTAAGAAGTTGATTACATATTTTTAGTCTAATACTTTGTAATGTTTTAGTTCAATTGAATTGTATGTGATAATTATACTTGTGTCCCTGGTAACTGACTGACTTGTAATTGATGCAAAATATAAAGTACAAACTTTAGTGATGTTTATTGTGTGCCATTGTATAGTACTTTTCCCAGGATGGAAGTACGATTCAGTTGATCTTTTGTTTGAACTTAGTACTTCCAGATTATTGCAAATCACGCATTGTGCCTCCTAATTTTGTGGTAGACTAGAATTATGCATAGGCATTTATCAAATCTCTATGATTCAAAATTCGGTTTTCTGGAGATATATGTTTAGTGAATTTTCTAATGCTTACTTTACGCTGTTGAACTGATTCTATTTTGTTGATTTTCTACCTTTTTTTTTTTTTCTGATGACTGATTTACTTCTGCAGGAAGCTATATCCCAAGAGAGTGATGAAAAGCTTGAGAACAGTGGTAAACAAATGGGACATTTGGATAGATAATTTGGAAGAACAAGGCCGCGCTTCTTGCATTCTCATGACAACTAGGGGATAGTTGAGGTGAAAACTCTCTCTCTCTCTCTCTCTCTCTCTCTCATTTGGTTGATTTATAGTCTCACCTGTTAACTTTTTTTTCTTCAGGTGTTATATGTACTGTCGAAGTCAGCGATATAGATTAATGCTGCTCTATAGCTGTGGACAGTAACTGGTTTTAAAGAGGTTCTAGCAGTTAATTTTTCAAGCTAACCTATAGAAGTGCGTTTGCATTGACTACCTTCCCGTAGTGTGTCAATAGAAACCTTATTTTATTTGTTGTGTTAATAGTAAGATGAGGTAGTTTGTTAGATGAAAGAACTCGTTTTTTCTCGTCTTTGTTATTATATTTGTGTATTGCGTGGGTCATGAGTGAATATGTGCTTGAAACGTCCATGTTTTCTTTAGCTTCATTTCTTGATCATATAGAAGAAGTGCTGTTGGAATATTTGATTTTTCTATGCCTCCTTGGTCCCGTTTCTTCTCTAAGCTGATTTGACTAAATTTGTGCTTATATTCTGATTTCCTTAATTAAATACAAGGCAATGACGGGCTTACACAACGTTAGTTACTATTAGGAGCATATATATCGAAGAGCAGCCTAAATACTCTTACACAAACCTTAAAACCAGGGTAAGAATACCAAGGATCATCCTTGGTAGCTGTATGTTCTTGTTGATGTCTGTTCTGTTCTTGGGGAGTCGGAACAATTCTGTAAGAAGGAAACTAAAGATGGAGGTAAAGATCATTTTTTTAGCTAAGAGTCTTGCTTGTGAAATCGATAATTTTTTGCTGTCATTTATTCCATCGTGTTCCTTGAGTTTGCTTTGCTTGTTAAAAATGAATTTTACATCGACTATGGTACAAAAATATACTACTTAAACCATTGTGGGGGCGCGGTCATGGTTGTGGCCACGAGCACGGGAGGAGCTTTCCCAAGTTTTTCAACCCATAATATGAATATCAAAGTTTGTTATATGTTATCAAGAACTTACCCCGATGAGTGAAGAACGTAGCTCCAAAAAAGTCGAAATAAATGACACCAAAACAAGAAGTAAAAGATTAAAAAAATAGTATTATTAAATCAGTACCAAGAACTTATCTGAACGAGTAAAGAACATAGAAAATAAGTTGAAAGATACGACACTGTACTATTCTCAATTGTGGAGTCTATCGTCTATATTCTCCAATATAATTATTCAAAATAATTAAAATTGACTCTCTAAAATCTAAATAATGGTTTGTAGTTGATGTGGCAGTGCTTGTTTCACAGATTTTAAGTAAATTTCCAACCGTTACAAATGGGTTGGCAGCAAGTTTTGACTTTTTTGTTGGGGCCCACTTGTTGGAGCCCAACGGTCAAAAAATGAATTATTTGGCTCCAACAATTTCTCCCAGACACGCAAATCTAAAATAATATTTTAAGTATTAAATTATTGTTAAAGGAATCACAAGATGGTACAAAGTTCGTAAGGATATTTCAAACTTATTAATTTATTTATACTAACATGTGAGAAAAATGACGATCGAAAGTTTACGTTATTCAAAATATGGAATAATTAAGGTTTGTATATTTTTCTAAAATAGATAGTGTCTATGTAAGTATGATAAATATCAGGAGAGGTCCTCATTTATCAAGAATTTCAAAATAATGGAGTTTTGTTCAATTTTCGAAAAGATATCTCTAAAATAGTTATAAATATTAGGGGGAGGTTCCGTACTTTGCCATAAAATTACACTGCAAGATACACCCTAATATATATTCACTAATTAATAATTTCAGGGTCTGCTTTGGAGTTCCCACATATCGATTATGAGCGTTTTTTAACGTATCTATTTTGAGAGTTTATAAGCGAATCGGTTACGAGTGACTTTAGTAGTGGTTTTTAAAACCCTCAAACCCATGTTTGAGTTTATTATCTATCGATTTTGAAAACTTTTTTTAAAAATAAAGTTACATATTTGTTTCAGCGAAATTTAGAATTTATAATTTTTTGTATGAAATATTTCACTTATATGTAATTTTTACATATAAATTAATATTTAATTTAAAAGGTTAAATAAAATTAAATATTTACTTAAAATTTTATGTTAATTTTTCTTAGTTATATATAAACTTTATAATTCTAAGTTAATTTTGTACTTTTATATAATTTTTTTACACATAAGTGATTTTTTAAATTATAAGTAACTTTTTATATTTTATAAGTGACTTTTTGTCTTATTAGTAAGACTTTTACATAAAAATATATTTTTTTTATCTTAAAGTAATTTTTTACGTATAATATATATTTTTTAGTTAGTTTATTTTTATTTATAAGTTAGTATTAAATAAAATATGTTTGTTGGAAATAATTATTTAATATGGTAAAATTAGAATAAAATTTGAGAAACAATAAAAAACAGTTAATTTGATGGGTTGAAATAATCTATCAAAATATCATTTTTGAGTGATTTTTAAGCCATTCAAAAATGATGCCCAAAAATTTTAGCCAGCACTGATTCATCCAACCTCATCAATGGTGGCAGTCAAAATCGGTCAAAATAAAACTCCGAGGCCCTAATATTCAGTTCATAATTTGGGGAGACACTAGTCAAAAATCAAAACTCAGAGAGATGGAGAGCGGCGCCAGTTTTGCAGGGGTACACCAGAACCTAATTCCCAACCACCGCCACCTGCTCGGCCCTTCAGGCAGCACTACTAAGCGTCTCCCCCCGCTTTTCAGTGGCAAAAGACGCTTCTCTAATAGCCCTTTTAAGGTACCGTGAAATCACTTCTGCGGCAGTTTATGTCCTTTTATGTCCTTTGCTTAGTTCACCATTCGTCTATCACATGCATTTCGTGTTAATCTAATTTATGTATTTGAGAAGTAGAACTTATATTGTTTATACGATTCAATGATTGTAAAGCACACGTATGCAGCTCTCGAATCAATCGCACTTCGCTTGTTTTAGTAAAAATGCTAATACTCTTCAAGTGGCCTCTCCTGCGAGGTACGCTCGTTAGGAAATATTTTAATTTAGAGCCAAAATCTGGTTTAATTTGTGAGCTCAAATTTTTCTTGTTGAAGAACTGGGTTTATGTAATGTTTAATTTTGGCAGCAACGTGATGCCAGAATTAGCGGACATTGATTGGGACAATCTTGGATTTGGGTTCATGCCCACTGATTATATGTATATTATGAAATGTTCACAAGGTGAAAACTTTTCTAAAGGAGAATTACAACGTTTTGGGAACATTGAGTTGAGCCCATCTGCAGGGATTTTAAACTATGGACAGGTAAGTTTTTTCTTTTACTAGGTCTAACCACAGTGGTTCTTTCAGTGTGTTTATAACTCACTCACATCATGTTTACTTCACTTTTGCTGAATTTGTTTTTGAAAATAACTTGTAGGGGCTGTTTGAAGGTTTAAAAGCTTATCGGAAATATGATGGCAATATTTTACTCTTTCGACCCGAGGAAAATGCTTTCCGATTAAGGATGGGAGCTGAGCGTATGTGCATGCCTTCTCCTACTGTCGAACAGTTTGTGGTAGCTGTAAAAGAAACTGTTTTAGCAAATGAAAGATGGGTAATCTGACAGTTTATCATTTCAGTTAAGATTGTATTTATTTATTTTCAGTGGTGTTTAGACAACTGAGTGATTTTATGTTGTTATCTTATTTCAGATTCCCCCACCAGGTAAAGGTTCTTTATATATAAGACCATTGCTAATGGGGAGTGGATCTGTTCTAGGACTTGCACCAGCACCTGAATACACCTTTTTGATTTACGTATCACCTGTGGGAAACTATTTCAAGGTATAATAGTTGTATCTCGCGTGCCTGCTTGGCCATGATGCTGTTTCCACTTGAATTGTTGGCAAGATAGGGCTCAAAAATCGATATTGATAAATTCCAATTAACTTTGAACTGCTTTTCCAAACTTTCCACCTGTAGTCTACCCAAATATTCATGAATGGCAAAATGTTTGAGTTTGTGAGGCAATAATATTAGATTTTGAGGATGTTTGATCATTGAATGGGAAGTAATATAATTCATAAACAAGCAAAAAGAAGATCTTGCAATCGTATTCTTAAATATACAAAAAGATAGCCAAAAGCAGCTTACAGTATACGAACTAAAAGAGGCAAATGAAAAATGACAGAAGGACCCAAAGAAGACTCGAATGGAGGCATAGGATTTATGTTACTGTTCACAAGCATTTGATGCTTTCTTTGAGTTAAAATTACTTAGTTATTGCTTGTTCTGGTGTTGCATTTAATCAAAGAACAGGTTGTTTGGTATGGCACTCCAATCTTAATCAAAGTTTGTCTTAATATCTGGTGTAGACCAAGTGGAACTTATTATGATTTAAATCAATGGTGTTGATATAGATTTTGGCCTCTTAAATGTAACTGATAATGTTTTCTCGGACCTCATGTCATTTTTGTGTTTTCAAATAATTTTATCTGGCAATTATTCCTTCTTTGATCAATAGCATACCCCCTTTGCAATTTCTATAAGTTTCTACTGCATACTTTTTGATGTCTCCCAGTTACTGTGTGTTTACTCTTTCACCAGGAAGGTTTGGCACCAATACATTTGATTGTTGAGACTGAAATGCATCGAGCAACACCTGGTGGTACTGGGGGAGTTAAGACTATAGGAAATTATGCTGCTGTAAGCTATTCTCTGTTGATTCTTCCTCCCCTTTGAGTTAGCTTGTATAGAGTTCTTCCTCTACACTTACTAGCATCCTAAACTCTATTTTTGCTAAGGTCTGCATAATAAATTAATGATTCTGCTCTCTCTTCCATCTGGAGGTTGATAGATACACATGATATTCTATGCTTCTCCCCTCTTGGTTATTCTCTCTATTTTCCTTTTTACTGAAGTGCATAATATTCTGTAAATATTCACATTGCTTTGGAAACTGCATTAAACCCTTGCTTAACCAGGACGCTAAGGGTGCTTAGCTACTTATTAGTGCAATGCATTATCTCGGCTAACTATATTTTTTGAACTTAACTTGTGAACTGCTACTATATCGACTATAATGGGGGTGATTTTATATTTTTAGATACCTTAAACTACCCCTCTATATTCAGGTAAGGGAACCGTGTTAACTAATCTAAGGAGGGTTTCTTTATTATTCTAG